CCCGCCAAGGTTACCAGCTGGTAAGTCAAAAACAACTTCTAAATAAATTTTACTAAGGAAAAGTATCTCAGCATTTAGTTACTCGGAATCAAATTTACTTTCTCTTACTGTTCTTAATCGCCTTTCATCGTTTCAATGCTCTTGAATTTTCAGAGCTAGGCTCTTCCTACTTTGCATAATCCGTAATCGGCCCGTGGGCATTACAAATACATAATAACCGCTCAGATCTTGCTATTAGCCAATCAGAACGCGCATTACATCGGCCACAAGCCAAAGCCATATAATAAAGGTCTTTACTGCAACTTCTCAGACCGAACTACTCCAAGTAATTTAAAAGGTAGGGGCCATTTTTTTGAAGGGTGGATAACCCTATTCACTGGATAAATTGCTATCCAGTGGATAAGTGTTGGTAAAACAAACCACCGTATCCACTGGATAGTGATTCATCCGGTGGATAGCATTATCCACCCTTTCAACAACTGCGGCCAGTTATTTGAGTTTGGAATGTGGGGATCAAGTCATACATGTACAGGACAGGTTTCTCAAAATGAAATTGAACTCTGTCTTAAGTCTCTGCTGAATCTTATGAGACCAAACTACAAACTCAAAAAAAAAAAAAACCCAGACACCTAAAACTGCACAATTTCCCATCAGCTCAGAAGAATTAACCCATGTTCCACTACAGAAACACAAAACAAAAATGTGTCTCACCTGTTTGTCTGACTGCAGGTGGTCTCCTTTTTTTAACAGGCTCAACTGATGAATCAGAATCTCCACTGCCTGGTCTGAGATCTGCTTTGTCTCAACGCCCTAAATGATGGAACAAATTATTGTGTAAACATGTAATGTAAGAACTATTTGATTTCCCAATCATGGGTCACTCCAGAACTACATTTTTGTCAAACTGCATCTTCTCAGACCAAACTACTCGAAGTAATTTAAGAAGTAGGGGCCAGGTTTTCAAATCGTGGATAGCATTATCCACCTTCTCAACAACTGCGGCCAGTTATTCAAGTTTGGAATGTGGGGATCAAGTCATACATGTACAGGAAAGGTTTTTCAAAATGAAATTGAACCCTGTCTTAAGTCTCTACTGAATCTTATGAGACAAAACTACAAACTCAAAACAAAACCCAGACACCTAAAACTGCAAAATTCCCAATCAGTTCAGAAGAATTAACCCATAACTTTGAAGGCTTACTGTTACCGAACATGGTATCTCAGAATTCATTCCTCTTACAGTAAAACACCAAGGACTCTGCACATTCAATCAAACCCACTTGCCATACTTCTTAGTAACAATCAACTAAATGTACAGAAAACAAAAATGATGTCTCACCTTCTTGTCTGACTGCAGTTTGTCTCCTTTTTTTAACAGGCTCAAATGATGAATCAGAATCTCCATTGTCTGGTCTGAAATCTGCTTTATCGTGATGACCTACATGTCAAAATTAATTACTGTGTAAATACATGTATGTAATGTAAGAACTATTTGATTTTCCAGTCATGGCCTTTTTGGGTCACTCTAGGACTACATCCTTGTCACAGAAAAGGTACTTTAGAAACTCGTGATAAGAATTTTATAAATTGGGAATTAATTACTATCATCAGCATCTTTTTGTAATTCTCACGCTAAAGCTTACTAAAGAAGAAAAGCTTTCTGAGTATGAGGGATGTGGCATGAAGACCATGACAATCTAGCCAAATTCTTTTCACACAACTTTTCTACCACAGAAAAGGGCATGGATCAGGCACATTCACTGAAAACCACTAATAGTATTTGTTACTAGCAATTCATGATGTAAAAATATGTTAGGCCCTGTCAAAATACTGTTCCACTACAGAAACACAAAACAAAAATGTACACATCTCACCTTTTCGTCTGACTGCAGGTGGTCTCCTTTTTTTAACAGGCTCAACTGATGAATCAGAATCTCCACTGCCTGGTCTGGCATCTGCTTTGTCTTGATGCCCTAAATGTTGGAACAAATTATTGTGTAAATATGTAATGTAAGAACTATTTGATTTTCCAATCATGGGTCACTCCAGAACTACATTTTCGTCAAACTGCATCTTCTCAGACCAAGCTACTCAAAGCAATTTAAGAAGTAGGGGCCAGGTTTTCAAATGGTGGATAACCCTATCCGGATAAATCGTTATAAAGTGGATAGCATTATCCACCCTTTGAACAACTGCGGCCAGTTATTTGAGTTTGGAATGTGGGGATTATGTCATACATGTACAGGACAGGTTTTTTAAAATAAATAAATAAATAAATAAATAAATAAATAAATAAATAAA